ACGGACGAAGGATTCGAGCATCTGGATGACGTGTTGGCTGCCACCTTTGCCTGGATTCGCCTGCTTAACGACTGCAGCACGTTAGCCACCAGCTATTCCGAGATGAAGCAAATCTCGGACACAAACTTCCGGTTTCAAATCGAAATACCCTCCATGGACAACGTGCAGGGTATAGTGGAGGCGCTCAGATTTCTGCCAGCCAAAGATGCGCTCACCGGCACGCAGCTATTTTTCGAATACGATGAGCAGGCGATAGGAGTGGTAAAGCAGCATCTAAGTGAGTTTCGATTCAACATTATGATCTCATCGCATATACCGTACGAGAATCTGGCGTACGTCCAGATGGAGCCCTGGTTCGGAACCCATTTCACGACCATCGATATGCCCGCCAAATGGCAGCAAATGTGGACAAATCCTAAGCCGCATCCGGAACTTAAAATACCCGAGCAGAATAAGTTTATAACAACTGATTTTACGATCCAATGGATACAGGCAGGCAAACCGCGCGTGCCCCGACGACCTAAGGCGCTCATCAAGGACGCTCTGTGTGAACTTTGGTTTCGACAGGATGATACGTTTTTACTTCCCGACGGTTTTATAAACCTGTACCTCATAACACCCCTGATGCGTAGGAGCCCGCAGGACTACATGTCGGGCGTGCTATACACCTATCTGGTGGAGTTCTGCATCGCCGAGCAGTTGTATCCGGCGCTGGTCGCTGGCCTGACCTATGGCCTGGACACGGCAGATAAGGGCCTGGTGCTGCGGGTCAGTGGCTACAACCAGAAGCTGCCGTTGCTGCTGGAGATCATAATGAATGTCATGCAAAATCTGACCATAGATCCCGCTCAAGTGGTGTCCTTCAAGGAGCTGAAGAAGCGACAGATTTTCAATGCCCTGATAACGGGGCGCTCGCTAAATCTAGATCTGCGCCTCACAGTCTTGGAGCACATGCGCTTCAACCTGATGCAAAAGTACCACGCGCTGGAGAACATCAGCGTGGATCACGTACAGAACTTCAAAGATACCTTTTACAAGAAAATGTACGTGCAGGGCCTGATTCAAGGCAACTTTACCGAAGAGCAGGCGCGCGATATCATGAAGAAGGTGCACACCAACTTCCGCAGCGAAAAGATCGAGAATCTGGGGGAGCAGCACAATCGGCTGGTGCAGCTGCCGCTAGGCCAGCACTTTTTACGCGTGAAGACTCTAAACGAGGACGATCCCAATACGATCGTTAGCAACTATTATCAAATTGGACCCTGCAGCCTGCGAATGGAGTGCCTGATGGATCTGGTTGATCTGGTCGTCGAGGAGCCCTTCTTCAATCAACTGCGCACAAAGGAACAGCTCGGCTACAGCCTGGGCATGTACCAGCGCATTGGCTATGGTATTCTGGCCTATATACTGAACATCAACACCCAAGAGAACAAGCACAAGGCTGAGCACGTGGAGGAGCGCCTGGAGGCGTTCCGTGCAGGCATGCCTCGCCTGATCGATCAGCTGACAGACGAGGAGTTCGAAGAGGTTCGCACAACGTTGATCAATGGCAAAAAGCTGGCTGATTATAGCCTGGACGATGAGGTCATGCGCAACTGGAGCGAAATAGTCAGCATGGACTATTTCTTTAATCGCACCGACATGCAAATACAAACCTTAAATGGCCTGACGAAGAAAGATGTGCTCGACTTTCTAGTGAACTATGACAAGTACGATTTGCGTAAGCTCTCTGTACAAGTGATTGGTGCATCCTCCGTGTCCAGGGTGTCGACGACTCAGTCCATAGCCGATGCTGTTGCAGCCAGACAGGTTTCTAATACCGGCCTGGGCCGAAGGCCCGGCTCGCTGGCTATGCTGCTCGATGAGGTACAGAGGAACATATCCGAGGAGCAGCTGCTCTTCGAACAGATCGGCGATCGTATTCGCCTGGAGTTCATTGGCGACTGCGATAATCCTGCCCACATTACGGATATAAGTGCTTTTAAAAGAGACTTGCACGTATATCCATTCATAAGTAGTAATCCAAAGTACAACAAATTGTAGTGTAACGGAAATTTATAAATGTAATGTCCCTGTGTAAATGTTAGTTCTGGTGAAGGTAGCTAATAAAACAAACGGACAGATGAAAAAGAAACATTTTAAATGGGAGATCCAATTTGTACTTTGCATTGCCAATTAAAGTCGGCTGCATAAATTTATTTGGTCCGCCACCTCTGGCTGGGGCATGACACATTGCTGTGGCAACTGTTGCTGGCACGTATTGTGGCTGCTGTTGTGCCTCAGCAGCAGCAACAGCAATGCTCGACAGCTCGGCGTTAATAATTATGGGGCGTGTCAATGCTTTCATAATAAAATATAAATTATATAAAGCAAACTTTTGTGCATTTGGCAGCATTGATAAAAGAAGAATACAAGTAGAATTTTTGGTAGATTAATTAAAATGCTCATACTTTCAGTTTGCTTTAAAGTTGCCAACTAATTAGTTTCGCGTTGAATTTCAAACACGGCAATAGAAATGCTCCAATCCCGCTTGCATGAGTTGATTGCCGTTGGCTTAAAAGGATTCCACTGCTCCTGGGGTTGCTAAGCACTGAGGCTCATTATAAAAGCACATTGTGCTCTGGCATTCTCCGCACTCAAGTGTATACTATATATGTATATACATACATATATTTATATGTATATATGTATTTATACATCTGTCTTGCTCTATGTTGGCTTTGAGCTGCTTGGCAGCCGCCCAAATTGTTCGCCATTGTTGCTGCTCTGCTGTTGCAATTTTGCGTCATATTGTTAGCTTATTTCGCTTCGCATCCGAAAATAAACTAAATACAACATCTGTGAATGCCAGTTAGCCGGCTTGCCAGTTTGCCAGCTACGCCCAACCCAAAATGTGCCGCCCACCAATCAGGCAATGGCCGCTCCGGTCTGGGCTAATGATAAGCCTTGTTTTGTAGCCATTATTATTATTATTGCCGCTGCTTGCGGCTGGCTTTGCCATCAAGTCATTATGGGAGCGCATTATTCTGCCATTGATTCAGATTTTAATGTTCTACACGCACTGTTGACTTTAATGGTGCGCAACTTTAGAACTTAGTTCGGACTGCTCTTAACTTACTCGACAGCACCTGGAAGCTGTTAGCTGTTAGCTGGAAGCTTACAACGCATTGAGTTCACGAAATGCACTTTGGAAAAATGAATAAAGTTTTTATTTACGCAATAATTTCTTGCACAGTTATATGTATGTATGTATGTATATATATATAAGTATATGTATATCACTTGTTATATTTAATAATATAAGTTCTGTGTTTCTTTTCTTGCCGTTGAAAAAAAAAAAAGAACAGACACAGCTATTATGAAGTCATAGAATTGATGCACTGCATTTTATTGATTTGTTTTTGTATTGTATTTAAATTAAATTTTAAACGCAACACATAAAATGTTTAAGCCAACATTAAAGTAGATATATTTATATATATATGTATATAAATTTATATATATTATGTAATTGAATTAAGCATTAAAAAAACAATAAATTTAGTTATTGATAATAATTAAATTCTGTGCGCCTATCAGGCGCCTAACAATAAGTAAACTTTTAGCAAACTCTTTTTTTTTTTTTTACTTTTTTGTGGTTTTAAATTAAATTAATTAATGAATTGATAATAATGGAAACATTTTTTCAAGCGCATTGATGATAATGTGTTTTTATGTTAAGCATGAAATTGAATTATCGACGCACTGTCAATCAGTTGCAATTTCATGAATATCTAAATGGATTATTGCAAATGTAAACGAGTGTTAATTGAATCGTTGCTGATGCTGATGTTGATTTTGCTTATCGCCGCTGGACTTAGGGCTACAATTAAATAAAGTATATCAAGTAATTTACTTATATAAAAATATATATATTTATATGTGTATGTATGTATAGGCGTATATATTAAGTTTAATATTATTATTGTTGTATTTTGTTTTTTGATATTTTATATTTTGCATTTTTAGTTTAGTTTTCCTCTTTGTCAATTGTTGAAATATGTCAATTGTTCAGTTTTATTCAAATTTCAATTTGATTTGCATTTACGTTCTTTATTTCTATTTGCGAGTGTGTAAAACACTATAAATATGTCCGAATGCTAAGCATGCTCTCAATTTTCACTTACACTTAAACAAAATGTATTTAACTAAAATTGCTTATTCGTAAACCGTTACAAATTTAGATTTTCCATTTATTTAAGTTTTCAGTTAACAAGTTAGAATCTGGTTTAAAGTACGTGCCGCTTTAAAGAAATTGTTATTAAAATTTATTTTAAGTAACGGAATTTACTCTTTCCTTGAAAAATAATTAGCTCATTGCGCTTAAATAATTGGCATTAAATGAATTATTTTAATTGATTTAATTTAATTTAGTTTCATTTTTCTTTTTCGACTACTTTAAAGGCTTTTTCTTTCCTTGTAGGAAATACTTTTCAAATAGTTTACAATAATTTTAATTTGATGTAATTAAATTAGTTTCTATGATTCTTTTATAATTATATTTTTGTTTAATTTCATTTTAAATAGAACTTAAAACAAAATTCTTGAATGTGTTTTAATTGTTTTCCGTTTTGTTTTTCTTTAGCATTGACAAAACATTTGTCGGTTATTTTTTCTTTTTTTGCGTTTCACCTGCTCTACTGAATCAAATCTCATTGCTGAACAATGTCAATCATCAATCATCAATCATCATTACTATCATAATCATCCGTAAATCATCTCATTCATGCTCTCCTAACTCACTTCTCTCGCTCGCTCTCTCGTGCTCTCTTTCTCTCTGGTAGACTTTCAGTTAGATTTCACTCGCGATATTTTCAAATTGGAATGACCTTAATTAGAAACATGTACATTTTTTTATCGAGCTTTACAACATTTTTTCTTATGTTTTTTAATGTATAAATATTTTTAGTTTGTTTCATGTGTTTTCAAACACATTTTGGCTGCTTTATTATATAGCTTAGTGTTTTTTTTTTTTTGTTGCTGCTGCTTATAGGAAAGGGTTCAGAAATATAGTGGAGTGTTTTTTGGACTAACTCTCCCGGCAATTTTGGCTTTAGTTGTGTATGTGTTTTTTTTTTCGTTTTTGTTTTTATTTTCATGTTCTTTTATATATTGGAAATAGTAAAGTTTTGCAATTTCAAATGTTTTAAATGCATTTAGAAAGTAAATAGGATTTCTTTTTAGAGTTGTTTTTTACTTTAGCGTATTTTTCGAAACGAATTTGCAGGAATTGTGTTGAGAACAGTGAGCCACACGTGTATGGATAGCGTGTATTGCATAAGGATCGTTTTGATGGGCAAAGCAACCGGATTGTCCAAATTATGGGCCCATTTCAATGTGTGTGTGTATGTATGTGAGTGCTTATGTGTGTTTGTGTGCCTTTTATTATACGGTAAAATCACCCGCCGCCCAGCTCATTTTGTAATCGTCAATGTTGAACAAGTCAAAAATGTCGCCGCTGGCATTGAATGCATCCACTGCACCACCACCGCTGTCCATGGCATTGCCCATGCCGTTGGCCATGCCCGTTGCCGTCGCAGCGTAGTCGACGTGTCCAGCTGCCTGGGGCTGGGTCACCGCCTGCATTATGGAGTTCAGTGTGTTCTCGAAGTCGTCGCAAACGTCCATCGGGGTGCTGCTGTAGTGGCCATTTGTGGGGCCGCCGCACTCCACGGCCACCGAAGTGTTGCTATTGTTGTTGCTGTTGCTGTTGGTGTGGCTATGGCTGTGGCTGTTGCTGTTGCTGCCGGCACTGGCGGCCACATGCTGACTGAGCTGTGCCACAAAGCTGTCCGCATCGAAGTCCACATCGCCGCCGTGATTGTTATTCAAGAGCACGCTGTCCGGACTGCTGGCTTCGAGCAGCTCGTTGATGCTGGGCTGCAGACTGGGATTGAGATCGCGTCGCAAATTGTTGCCGCCGCCGCCGTTCTTGCCGGCACAAAAGTTGTTCGAGTCGTCCCCAATGTCCATTTCCAGCTGCTGCGACATCAGCTCCAGCAGCTCGTACTCGTCAAAGTGATTGAGCTTGGCATCCGGACTATTGGGCTTCTCGCTGGCGCAGCCACTGCCGCTGTTGCTGCTGCACTTGGGCGGCGTGCTGGGCGGCGGCGTGGCATGATGCTGCTCCAGGAATATGTCCAGGGTCTTGGCCACGCTCTCCGCATCGATGGCCGAGGCATCGGGCTGCAGCGGCGAGGCCATATCAATGTTTTCAATGTAACCATGAGTGTTGTTCGCCTGCTGATTGTTGGACGCATAGCTGATGTGATTGTCGTTGGTGTCCATGGCCATGTCCAGGCTGGGCAGCGATTGTGGCGTGGGTGGCGCCTCCAATTTGGGCACCAGCGGCACAATGCTGGCGCCGCCAGCCGCAGTCCTCGGCGTCACGCCGTTGAACATTGCCAGCTCGGGCAACGGCGTCAGCGGCGTTATGGGCTCCAGCGCGGCGCTCTCTGGCAGCTCACCTTGCTTGATTAGTATGTCCAGCACATCGCTGACCTGCTCAGATTTGATGCCCGATGGCTTGCGCTGCATTTGGCATTTGCCAATTGCTGGAGTTGCTGCTGCTGCTGCTGCTGCTGTTGCTGTTGCCGGTGGAGGCGCAGGCGATGCAGCCGGCTCCTCTTTGATCTTCATTAGCGGCATGCTACTGCCCATGGCAGCGGCTGCTTTGCTGGCCGCCAGTTGCTTTGTAGCCTCCTCGTACTGTGGTGGCGGCGCTGTGGTTGGCTTTATGTCCAGCTGTATGATCTGTTGTTGGCCAGACTGAAAATGTTGCTGTTGCTGCTGCTGCTGCTGCTGCTGCAGTTGTAGTTGTTGCAGCTGCTGTGGCGAAATGATTTGCTTCGAATCAATGGGAAACACAATGCTGGGCAACGAATTTGTGCGCTGATGCCCATTGAGCAGCTTCTTTGTGGCAGGTGATGCTGYTGCTGCTGCTCCTGCTGCTGGTTGTTGCTGCGGTGCAGCTGTTGTTGTTGTTGTCGCTGTGAGACTTATGTTGCCCAGCGTGTGCGCCGTCATCTGCTGATCGTTGAGCCCCAGCAGGAATATGGTCTGATTGCCTTCGTTCCAAACGAGACCCAAGTTGTTGGGATGCGCTGCGGCAGCTGTTGCTGTCGTAACTGGCTTCGCGAGCATTATTGTGGATGTGTTGGCGGCAGCAGACGCAGCAGCAACGGCGTTCGACTGTTTTGTGGGCGTGGCTGGCAGCTTGGATGCGCTATTTGTGGTGTTGTTATTGTTGTTGGATGGAATGAGTACAGTTTGTGTCTTTTGCGTAAGCAAACGCATCTGTTGCTGCTGCTGTTGTTGCTGCTGTTGCTGCTGTTGTTGCTGTTGTTGCTGCAGTGCTGCTGCAGCAGCGGCCGCCTTTTGCTTTTGTATCTTCGCCTCCAGCTGCTGCTTGACCACCATTTTCTGACTAATGGGCGCCGGTTGCTGCTGCTGCTGCTGCTGCCCATTGCCGTTGGCCTGAATGCCGCTGATGTTGGCGGGTTTCTTGGCTTGACCGCTGCTGTTGCTGCCGTGCACACCGTTCAGCTTGCCAGGTGGCGTTACCGTTGCTGCCGGCTTCACGGTCACCTTGGCCGGTATCGTCTTCTCCAGGTGCGGCAGCACCGTCAGCGTCTGCTGCGGCCCATTGCCCGTGGTGGCTATCAGCGTAATCTGCTGCGAGGGCATCGAGTTCACCACCTGCGCGGTGACCGTTTGATGTTGGTGCATGCGCCGTATTTGCTGCAGCTCCTGCTGGGAGCGCTGCAGCTGCCGCTGCAACTCGTCGATTTTGCGCTGCTGCCGACGTAGCAGCTCGTCGTTCTGAATGATGGTGGCCGTTTGGGGCTGGGGCGGCAGAATCGTTTGCAGCGTCAACGCGTGATTGCTGTCCAGCTGCTGCACGACATCCATGTGCTCGTGCTCCATGGCGCTGGCGGGCGACTCGGCCACCAGCATTGCCACTGGCGGCGCCTGCACGTCGCCAACACCACAATTGCTGGTATCCATCGCATCGCTAATGGTGATGACCTCTGTGGCAGCTGCTGGCGTGCTGGCTGGCGTGCAGCACTCGATGGGCTCCAGGGGCAGGTAGGGCTTTAAGCGCTCAATCAGCTGCGGCTTGGGCCCCGAGACGGGCAAATTGCGTCGCTTCAGATGCTGCTTCAGGTCGGAGACCTTCATTTTCTCCAGACGCGTCAGGTCTGTGATGGAGCTGCTGGACTCCGCACAGCTATTGGCCGGACTGGGCGGTATGGAGGAGCTCACGGAGAGCGCAGGCGAAGGCAACGGCGGCGGATGTTGCTGCTGCTGCTGCATGGTGGCCGGGGCAACCGTTGCTGCCGCAGCTGCTGCCGTTTGCTGCTGTGTGGCGATCAGCGACAGAGTTGGTGGTGCGGGCGTAGGGGCAGCTGATGACGGTGCCGTTAGCATCGAAGCATCCCCGAATTTCAGCGGCGCATTGCCCGTGGTGCTGGTGATGGAAATGGTGTTGGGCAACGTCAGGGGCGCCGGTGCGGCAGCTGTTGTGATGGATGTGGCCAGCGCAGGCACTGTCTTGGTGGTCACTGTGATGCTGTTGGCTGTGGTGCTGACGGAGCTGTTGGCGGTGGCTGTGGCGGCGCTGGCTGCGGGCAGTATGGATTGGTTCTTATTGAGGCTCTCCAGAAACTTGAGCAAATAATTCTGCTGCTCCAGGAGCAGCTGGTAGGAAGTCGTCTGATCCGACTGCTCTTGATCCTGGGCCTGGCCGGCGGCGCTGGGTGGTCCCTTATACTCGTGGAATTTGATGGTGCGCGCCTTGGACACCGGCTTCGACTTGGACTTCTTGCGATTCTTCTCCTTGCCGGGCGCATACGACTTCATGCACAACGGCTGCAGCTGCAGTCGCGTCGGCGGCGGCGATGCAATGGAAGATAGCGGACTCAGCGTGGACGTGCTGGAGCCCAAGGAGCAGGGTGAAGCGAGCATGGGCAGCATGTGACTGCTAGCCGGACTGGCTGTTGGCCCGACCACGCTCTGGCACAGCTCCTCGAACAGATTGGCCGTCTCCTGCTTCACCTTGATGGCACCGCCAACAGGCATGGGCGGTGGTGGTGGGGGCGGTACACTAACGATATGGGCGCCGCCACCAGTACCAGCACCGCCCATGTGACAATCTGTCGTATTGAGCAACTGGATGGAGGGCATTACGCTAAGCACCAACTGGCCGCCGTTGCTGCTGGGCGTCGAAGTGGGCGTGGTCAGCGCCACCGTCACAATGCCCGCTGAGGCGGCTGCAGCCTGTAGCATATCCTTGGGCGCCGATGTGAGCGGCTCGGCGGGCACCACTGCACCACTGCTGCTAGCTGCCGTAGCCGCCGGCATCAGCTCGTCGAGCCGCGGCGGCGTCTGCCGCGTGTCGCTCTCGGAGCTCTGCGAGTCCTCCTCGAAGGTGACATAGCTGTGCGGATGCTGTGGACGCGTCAGCAGACCCTCACTGGTTGCCTTGAACGGCACCAAGCCCTCCTTGACAATCTTCTCGATGGGCTTCTCCGTATGCAGTATGTTCTTCTTGATGAGCTCCAAGGGACCCGGCCGATGCTGTATCTGCGAGTTGAGCTGATCCGCCAGGCGGGCCTTCTTCAGCATGCGCTGCTTCTCCGCCAGACTCGGATCGATGTGGCACTCGTCCTCCTCCAGTATATGCAGTCTCTCGAGATCTTCGCGATTTGGCCGCTGTTGGATTTTGGCCTTCAGCAAATCGCTGGTCTTGGCGCGCTCCAGTTGCTTGCATTGTTCGTGGATGGCGGGCGAGGTTTTGAGCGCTGCGAGTGAGAGGGAGAGAGAGAGAGAGAAAGAGAGATTTCAGTTAAAATACTAAAAAATCAAAAACTTTGCTCTAGTTTCAGCAAAACTTTCTAGAATAAAGAAATTGAAATTGTTTATTGAAGCGACGCCTGGGAGGCAGCTTAAGATTATTATTATTTCATTTATTTTTCTCTTTTATTTGACTTATTTATTTTGTTGGCTATGTCGAAAATTTGTCATTTAAATTCAAAT